TGACCTCTTCGAGCTTTTATTTTGGGACTTCCTGTTACCGGCATTTGAATTTGCATATTAGTTAAATATTTAGTTTCACCCGAAACATTTAGATTTAACATTTAGATTTAACATTTAGATTTAACATTTAGATTTAGATTCAGATTTAACATTTAGATTTAACATTTAGATTTAACATTTAGATTTAACATTTACATTTAGATTCAGATTTAACATTTAGGTTTAGATTTATCATTTAGATTTAGATTCAGATTTAACATTTACTTTTAGATTTAACATTGAGATTTAACATTTAGTTTTAGATTTAACATTTAGATTGCACATTTAGATATATATTTTTTGCCCATAGTTGATTTTGATTTAAGATTTATTTCGTTAATCAGAGGAGATACGATGATGCAGTTGCTGGGTTCAGAGTTAATGAGTACAACTATCCAGCCGACACGGAGCCTCCCCGTACAAAATTTCACAGCCCAAAAAAAACCCAGCACAAGATAGTTTTCACATATCGTTAACGTAACCAAAGCATAACACAGACATTCAGTTCACAAGCATACGCACATAAAATACACAAAAAAAAACCTTGAAAGAAACTTTATCAAAATAGGCGTGTAATATAAGGCACTAGAAATCTAAAATCAAAAATACGTATTAGATGCTGTTTGAAGAACGAGTTTGATCATTCATTGGTTGCCTTGACACACAGAAGGATGTCGTGGTCTACTGGAGTTGTGGCGTGGGATACGAGATCTACTTCCTACAGAGGTCAGAGGTCGTTTTCCTCGGGCGGACGCGCTAAAATGGTGGTGGGAGCCTCATGGAGCGTAACATCCGCGTGTCTGAAAAATGTTGCACCATCATCGTAATGGCATATATAACTTGCTGTTAGTGACTCCACACAAAAATATATATATAATACATCTACTTATTGCACACTGAATCAGACAGAGAAAAGTCATAGGTGAGCATTTCGGTGAGAAGTTATTTCTTCAATGACCCCCCCCCATGTCCCACCCTCTTATACATCCTGTCCTCACGCCCTGTTTGAGAAATCTTTGTGAAGCTTATTTGGACACATAAATATTTTTTATATATATTTTGCGTTCTGTGCATACTCTCCGTATGTGTGCTCTATCTGGCTTTCTCTTGACGTGCACACAGAACAACGTGGCGGTGGTTGTTCGTCAGGACTTGGTAGCAGCAGGGTTAATACTGTATCTCTGCGGGCCGTCCCTGGAGGTTCAAAACAAACAAATAAAAAAGAAAATAGCCGGCCATTCTCAGGTGTCTGACGTCGCAGACCACGTAGAGACGAGGCTGAGAGTCCCGCCTGTGCGTGTGAACATACGTGTCTTCTAACAAAGAGAGCGTGGGTGGAGAATACAGGAGAGTGACACTCAGTGGTGGTGTTTTGTCGTGGTGCTGTGAACATTTTCCACACAAGATTTGATTGTACACTTGAAAAACAGTTTGTATCACGTTTAAAAAGAAAAGAGAACGCTTCAGCTCATTGGATTACACAAAACTTTGTATGGCCAGTGGGGACAAAGTTATACATCTGTAAAAACAAAAAACTGAACGTGCCATAAGGAATACCCAGTTTAAAAAACAAAACAAGATAATCACATATTCACATTTTTTCTAAAAAACTAAATTAATGTTTTACTTTGTGGTATGATGCATTTTAAACTTCTCTCAAATTTCCCCATATCTTAAACCGTGACGCGTAAGGTTGAACTGGTGTTTTTTTCATTACTATATGGTAGAAACATCTTGTTCATTCACAGGAAATGAGTCCGTTTCCAAAATAAAACAGAAAAAAAACACGTCTTTGTGTCTTTTTTTTGGATGTGTGTTCTTGGTCTTTTTAATACTGTGTGCTCTGTGTATTCAGTCTTCTGTTGGCAATTCTCTGGTGCTCAAAAGTCCCAGTTCTTTCAGTCCACGAGGCGTCCATAAAATGGATCTGCAGTCTCCCTCACGACAATCCTCACGATAGAAAAATCAAAAACATTTCCTGTGACAGCTAAATACCGTAGCTGGGTCCTGTTTTCAAGTTGGTGATGCTACACTGGTGGTGGACGAGGTGCAGAGTTCCACACCCTAACAATGTAAAGCGATCTGGGTGCTCACAACAGCACAGAAATGAATTTAAAAAATCTAGATCTGATCAAGTATTCTGATTGGAACAGTGGTTGAAGTTGTATCTTCAGACTGACCGATCGGTGTGTTTGGGCTTAGGGTGGAAGGAAACACCCTTGTCAAGCGGGTTGCTATGGCTCAGTTAGAGGTGCTGTTTCTGGGTACGGGATAAGCCGATGGTCCCCCTTCACTCTGCATGTGGTGGCGAAATCTTCAAAGAAACATCGCAGCCTAATGCATTAATTGAGGCTGCGCGTGACCTAAGAAAAGTGCACTAGGTGGGATGTGGCATGAGAGAGAGCCACTGGGTTTATGTTGCATAGTGATCGAAGCTTCCCAGGTATTCCAGACTGGCCCGGTAACAGAACTGGTACTGGTCCTGAAAGGGAGGCAGAACAGGTCAGTGAGAGGCGAAGTGTGGAGCAGAGGTGGGCTAAGACTAAGAGAGAGAACATGAGAAAATAATAATGACAGTGGGAAAGCTCACCTCTGTCTGAACGGTGGCAGGTCTCTGGGTGCGCAGCATCTTGACCGTCTGGAAGATGTCCACCACGCCCTCGTACCTCATCCTCTCCAGCACGATGCTGAGGGTGATGAACACGCCAGTCCTTCCTACTCCAGCGCTGTTGGTGGACAGATGGAAAGATATTTACAACGGGATACATCTTGATGTCTAGCACAAATACTCATATGCAAGAAGCTGCACTCTCATCTCGTGTTTACATTGGCAGCACTAGCATAAAAAAATTATCAAAATTGTAATGTCAATACGGAGGAAAAGCTATTCTAAAAGCTATATCTATTTTTTCTGATTCTCTTTAGTAGCCCCAAGAGAGGCTAGTGGCTCCTGTCAGCACCACAACCGACCCTATAGCCCTCTTTTCTAACCGCGAACCTGAGCCCACCGTCCAGCTTGAATGATCAAAACTGAATGTTTTGTCAGCCCTCCTCACAACACTGACTCTTATTTAGGTGACATTTATTTACATTGACTGTACATCGAGATATTCTCAGGTGTCATTTCAAAGTAGGTAAAAATAACTAGCCATAAAAAAATCTAACCTGGTCATCAGGGTCAGCATATTGGATCAGTGCACTGAGCCATGACACTTTTTTACCATGCGACATAAAATCCTTCCTATTA